TCTCAGATCTCCTTTCTGTGTTATCTTGATTAGGTGTTCTTCTTTCCAGCTTTTCAATGACACTTGTTCTCCCTCCTAAATACTTTCGAATAGAACGTAGAGCATATTGCAGTTGTTTCTGTGTCCGACTTATGTACTTCAGGTGGTATATTGTCGGGTCCTGTTGCTTTCCCACACTTGACTTGTATGATGGCCATCCTGCATTTTTCGATCGTTAGTGGAGTGATATCTTTCAGAAGGTCTGTGTGTACTGCTCCGATATCCGGTGGATTCAATGGAGTTGGCCAATTCAAGAATTTCCCGGAGTGTTCTACCCATCTGTTCCTCTGTTCTTGAATCTCGGTGCTCGTATGGCCTTCTTTGTCCATGACTGATCTCTCTGATTTACTATATTTCCCTGATAGTTTCTTCGTCGTGTCATACAGTTGTTTCATATTTCCTTCTCTTGCAGTTTTTTCCGTCGTCGTTGTTAGCCCTTTCACATATGTCCGCTTCTCAGCTCTTAGGGTCCCCTTCATTTTCTTGTTTACTCCTGTCTATTCAGCTTGTGCCTTGACTTGTTCTGTTCTTGTTCGGTTGTTTTTAATTACCGTCTTCCGGTTCCTCCCTTCTTGAACCTTGTCCAGGGTTTCCATAGAGATCCACTCTTTATGAAGTTGCTTCTTGAGGCCTAGAACATCCTGACACATTGATCCCTTTCCAGTTGTCTTCCACAGTGGATTCTTCTTCCTTCAGTAGATCTTGTAAAGCTTACAACCTGTTGTTGACAGTAATCTCGAACCTATTGAGCCATTTAGTATTTTGAAGAAGGCTGTATTGAACATTTTATTACTGCTTTCCTAGTTGTCCAGTGTTTCTTTGGCACCACAATGTGGTGATCTGAAGCTTTTTCAGCACCTCTTCTAGTTCTCACGTCTCCCATTGTCCTTCCGAATTTTTTACCGATGTGAATGTGACCAATATGGTTCTCCGTAATGTGGTCCGGTGAGATTTATGTAGCTTTTTGTATGTGTTTGTGTGGGACATTTGTTGAATGCACATAGATTTGCAAATCGCTCCCCGTTTTCGTCTGTCTCTCCCAGTCCATGTCATCCCGTGATATCCTCATATCCGGTGTTATTCTTTCCGACTTTGGCATTCACTTCCCCAATCAGGATGGTGAGATCCTTTCTTAAGCACTTCGCTATGATATATTGCAGCTTCTTATAGAACTAACTTTTATCGCGGCCAGTGCTATCACTGGTGGGTACGTAACACTGTCTAACACTCACTGTGATTCCCTCCTAATTTGTTTTGAAGGATACTTTGGTGATCCTTAATCCGTGAGATTCCCATCCCATAAGTGCATTACGTGCTTTTTTGGACAGCATCAGAGCAACGCATTGAGTGCAAGGTGCATTTTCTTCTTCTTGACTAGACCAAAGGAGTATTTCTCCCGTATCTAGTCTTTGCTGTCCAGCTTGGCCCAATCGGTTTCGAGTACTGATTCCGAGACCCGCCAAGTTGTATCACTTTATTCCCGTAGCTATTTTACTGGTCATCTCGGTCTCCCACGTTGTCCGAACATTCCATATGCCTATGATATTTGTTACTGGGGCTGTTAGAGAGGGAATCGGCCTCGTGACTTCCAAAGAATCTCGACTTTCAGCATCAGGCGTCATAATTATTCCTTTAACTTGTAGGCAGAGTTGAAATGGTTTAACCTGTTTAATCTGGTTAGCGTTTTTAGCAGGATTGTTTTTACGTGATGGGGTTGCGGACCCCATACACAACCTTCCATCTTCCCCCCTTCGTGGAACCGGCAGTAACCCTAAACTTGCGGAGGTATAGTTCATTAGAGTTAAGGTATCATGTAGTTATCTGCAGAGGACGGTACTAATGGAACCCTCTGTAAGACTTCTAAAAATCAAGCTCGACGTTGAATATAGACTCAGAATCGCTTTCACCATTTACAAGTTACTTTTTTTGCCTTTTATTTCCAAACAAAAACAAGGACTGCAGCTTAACATTATCAATGGGAAAGTTGTAAATGGAATACTGGTTTAAATGTTTCGTTGATATTCCCTTGTTATTGGAACCATTTTTCAATATATATTTGCGGATCCGTTCATATTTTGATTTATCATGGTAATCGTCGTAAACAAATCTATGAAGTGAGAACGTCGTAGCATACAGTTCACATGAAATAAATAACACTTTGGAGTAATATGACACACATTTTTGTTACTTTCTTGATAAACTTACAAACCCGGATCTGTGTAAAGATTATCAAAGGGAACAAATCGTTGCGCCATTAGCCTTCTAACAATTTATTTCAGCCATCACGGTGGGACACGGTGGTCGGTGGATGAAAAAGTATAGTGTATATTCCAACCATCTCTTAGTTTTAACTCATGTCTGCTCACTCGAATGCCCTGTAATATGCAGGCAATGATTCTAATACAGTCATGGAATACTAGTAACGAAAGGTATAGGACACCTGTCTGCTTGTTCGTTAAGCTTCCTAGTGATCATACGACTAAGTTTCCGTCAAACATGTTCCGAACCTCACTTATTTTCTTCACAGTTAGGACACATTTTTTCAAAAGTATGACACGTAACAGTTAAAAATTCGAGTATAAGAGCAGTATGCAGCAGATACACAAAAGCGTGACTTGTCTTCACCGATTACCTGAAATACAGAGTAGGGATACTAGCTTAGCAGGTACATTCAGTAGAACTTTAATGTCTATTTGGAAAGATTAATTGGAATTACTATGTGATAAATAGTCTCAGTATTACGAAGAATGTTATTGAAATCGATTGTTCCAGGGCGTGCGAACCACACAAACTGCAAGAATGTTATCCAAAAATAATTCGAACGCCTGTTACACTATTTCAGATTAAACGATTACTTATGCACTTCCAAAGGACTAGAGGCTGTTGAAAATGAAGCTGTGTGCGTTCCAGTAGAATTTTCAGTTGTCAGCGTTCCAACTGAGAATTTTCCATATATAGCGAGGTAAGTTCATATTGAACACATTCTCATAAAGTAGTTAGTCCGAAACAGAGATTTTCTCATCACCGCTTTCATGCAATTCAGAAGAAGTTAGGGAACCATAGGTAGGCGCATATGTAAACATGACAACAAACGTTGCGAAATGTTGACAATATGAATCTGAAAGCAATCAGCTATATGTCTACCAAGACTGATAAACTGATCGCTCACGATAAAAGACCATCTGTGTTTGCGAAGGGCACGTGCGTCTTTAATGGCATTAGGCCCTAACCACACAATCCTCAAAGCTGAACACGAGACAGCTGGGAAAGTAGATATCCAACATTTAACCCGTAGAGAAACAACGATGGAGAAGGCGGGAAGAGTAAGTTCAATTAGTTCGAATTGATCGAATGGCATGACTCGGCTTTTCAGGCGTGGTCACTCTTGATTGTAGTCATCTTTTATTCATATTAAATATATTGTTCTATCTCTAGCCTGTTTGTTTTTCATCATATCCTGGTGATTATTACGATGCGATGAGTTGGTGTATAGGATGATTTGACTTCCACGTAAGATCTTATACATTAGGCAGTTACATTATGACAAATCTACAATTTTAACATTAGATCTATTACTAGAGCAGTACTAATATCGAAGTAGACCATACTTCTGCACACTGGACACGTAGATAAAAGTTTCGCATTCCCATTAAAAACACATGAAAGGTTGCGTACTTTTGAAATTGTTTGGAGAAGCTCAAGTTTCGTGGTCAGTTCGTGAGTATTAACAGGTATTCGAACAACTTTTACGTGGTCAGATTATGCGATATTATATATGATGATAATCGCAAATTAACCAAAGTATGTCCAGGTTGCTTGCTGTTGCCTGAACTGACTATTACTTGTACTTTATACGGAACTAAAAGTGAAACGGTATCAGTAAGTACAAATTCTACAGGACGATTCAAAGTAAGTTCACATTACAGTGTTAATATATTTGTAAGTGTCCTGTGATTCCCGTTACTAAGTGCAACCAGTCCACAACGTTTCTGTTTGATTAGAAAATATAAACCGATTTCTACAAAGTGTAATAAGATTTAGGGGTAATTTGGAGAAATATTGGAGCTTTGGTGCCGTTTCTTCAAAACTTTCCCAAAATAGGAAGGTTGGGTTGCTCTGGAGTCTGATATCTATAAAATTATACTCAAAGTAAAACGGATCAACATCTCATCATATACAAATGTAAACACGTCAGAGAGAATACTCTGACTTAAACAGCAATAGAAAAAACTGAAGAAATAAAATTTACCTGGAAAAATTGGCGCGAACACGTAGCATCACATAAGTTGCGGAAATTCAGTACACTAAAATGTTAGATTATACAGCGACATCAAAAAGACTGAGAAGAACGTAACAAACAAAGTAACCCGACTGCCATTGCTGGCAAAGATGGCTAGAACGACAACTATCGCTTCATCGTGTATGGTCACCAAGCAGACTGCCAAAATTACGGGGCAGAATCAAGTTTATTTCCAGTCGGCTGGCCCGTGGAGCAGTGGCTGCACTTTTTTCCTATACACAATCTTACCAGTACATGTCTGTGGCAGCGTCGTTTGTGTTGTACGGTCATGAAAGGCAGCCTTAGTACATTGATACGACGAAAGTTTAATCCACGTTAGATACTAAGAGGTATGACTTCGAAATTAGCAGGTCCCCAGTCATTCGACACAGATCATCTACGTCGACGATCTACAATAGTTACTCATAATACCCTTACCATGGCCCTTAAGCTTGTCTCAGTACCGATATTGTATTTACAATAGGTATTCAACAGCCCTTTGGAATACCATGTAACAACGTCCAACAACATAATAATTTGTACACACTGCACTTAGGTCGACTGAAAATTAAGGAGACTAGCGTAGTATGTAGAGGGTATAATGCAAGTGCAGTCAGAACTCATCGGTTAATGAAAAGGAAAAACTTAATACAATCCTGTTATTGAATTTAGTTGGAGATACGTTACATAGGTTGAGAGGCTGAAAAAGGCGCGAACTTTAACTTGTATCAGTCACGTGGCCATAGCTACTCAGCACGTTAGTTCATTTAGGTTTGTATGGTACAACAGACGTGTATTTCTTTCTTATTATGGACTCATTTCGCAAGAAGAAAAATAGCATTTGATGTGTTATAACGTGCAAGAACCTCCGGTTAAATGTATCGCGCTAACGCGACGATCTGTCCTGTGAAATGATAGTTTGGGCGAGTATTGCTAATTATGGTGAGATCTTTCTTTTCTGTACTTGCAGTGAGTAATAACCAGGAGAGTTGTTCATTGAAATGACTTAATTATAAGTTGATTTATTACCAAGTTTTTATGCAGTATCAGTATGTCTTCAGTAACAAGGATAGTAGGTTAGTAGACACTTGTCAATCATTGTAGCATATTTACCAGAGAAAATCCAACTTCTCCTTAAAGTGTTCACTGGTTTGGCTGGTACTAGTTCTTAGGGTAAGGCCTTTCATTCATTTAACCACCCGGTGAGAAAAGCGCAACCCCACCTTGAGTGTTTCAGATCACAGTTTCGAATCTTCTTGCTATGGCATCAAAAATAACTTGTTCCGAAAAGCAAAAAAAGATTGGACTTGTTGGCACCGAGATGATTGATAATATAGGATGTCAATATAAAGTCATTTCGAGTTCTACGATTAGAGGAAAACCGTCGAACGTTTAGGCGTTCACCGTTGGATTTTGAAAAAAACGACTTCTGACCTTGTTCCCAAACGCTGAACACGCTCGAGTGTGTCGGTATCGTTCGTAAGACATGAACCAAGTGGTTGGATCCTGTAGTACAACGGTGGTTTCACTTTGGTGGTGTAAATTCGTAAGACCTTGTCAAAGCATTTGAGCGTCCAGGCAAGTGACCATGTTGCTTGTGAACAGCTACTTCATCACTCACATCCGGACACTCAATAATAATACTTCGTTGAAAGTTTACCGGAGCGACGTACCTCGATAATTTGTATGTTCAGCTTATATTGGTTCCCGCAATTGTCTTTCCTCAAACCATGTTTATTTGTCACTTGTATCTGCAAACTTTCACTTCGTTTGGTGTTCAAGGCAATACTAATACTTCGCAGGGATCCTCCCATGGTCTCATTAAACAGGAGTCAGTAACTCGATAGAGAAACTGGCGGCCATCGTCATACTTCGGTTAGATCGCGAATTAAGACCTTTCAGTTTCTCGTATGGCTCCTTCAAACCGTATAAGGGTCTAGGCACGTTTTCCTGTTCATTACATTATGTGAACATCACTAGTGTTTAGTTCTGGTTTTTTGTGTCACAAAAATACTTACGTCTTTTTTCACATCCTATGTTTATGTTTCATTCTACATACACTATATTTGGCTGTCGTTTTTACAAATTCTATGTTTTTAGCACGTCCCACATTCATCTTCTGGAAATAATTCTTCAGGCGACTTGTGAATCTGTTCTCTAATCATGCCGAAACCACCGTTTAAAGTTGGTAGGTTATTCGACCTATAGCTTGAACATAACTCACTTTCAGCCGACATCAGTTTAGCGGATTGGGGTAGAAAGGAAATCAAGTTAGCAGAGAATGAAATGCCAGGGCTTATTATGATGAGGCAAATGTATGGCAAAGAAAAGCCACTCACTGGAGCTAGGATTGCTGGATGTCTTCATATGACTGTTCAGACTGCAGTTTTAATTGAAACCTTAGTCGAACTGGGAGCATCGGTTCAATGGTCATCCTGCAACATTTTTAGCACACAAGACCATGCTGCCGCAGCTATTGCAAAGACGGGCGTTCCAGTTTACGCATGGAAAGGTGAAACCGATGAGGAGTACACTTGGTGTATAGAGCAAGTATATGACTTACACCATAAATATAATCTTAGACTTTAATATTTCCTGATGGTTTACCTTTAAACATGGTGTTAGACGATGGTGGTGATCTTACATCTCTTGTTCACGAGAAACATCCTGAATATCTTGAAGGCATAAGAGGCATAACAGAGGAAACCACAACCGGTGTTCGGAATCTTTATAAGATGTTTTCCAGTGGTCGACTAAAATGTCCGGCCATCAACGTTAACGACTCTGTTACTAAGGTAGGGTGTTGCTTATATTTTGATGAAGTTTTCCGAAAGAGCAAATTCGACAATCTCTATGGTTGCCGTGAATCGTTGGTTGATGGATTAAAAAGAGCCACTGACATCATGCTTGCAGGAAAGGTAGCATTAGTCGCAGGTTATGGAGATGTTGGTAAAGGGTGTTCTCAAGCTCTTCGTTCTTATGGCGCGCGTGTACTTATAACAGAAGCAGATCCAATCAATGCTTTACAGGTAAGCATTTCAGAATACTGAAACTACGTTGACGTGTATTTATACCATAATTATTGAGGGAATGTGAACTAATCAGTGTTTCAATGGTCATTTCCTCAATAATAATAATTTCCAATTGGCTTTTAGTTATGATCAATATCCCTCCCTCTTTTTGTTACATTTCTTGTAATAAAATAAGAGAAATTAGTAAATCAGGTTAAATACTCAAAAATGAGACAGAATTGGGGTAATTAACTACATAATGGAAGCCTGTGAGGAAATAATTTTGTGGGTAAACGCCAATGAAAGGTTCACATGTTTTATCTTAAATTTCAATTATGGTTCTCTCAGTCGATGAACTAAGCTGTCGTGGCATGAAGCCTAACTTGTGTCGTATGAGGTTGATCATTAAATTTATGTATCTAAATTATGCCAATGTGTACTGTCAGAATTTAGCCTACATTTCATTGTTTATTACTAATCACTATTTTATCCGATTAGTCCTACAGCCTCTAGATAGATGCTAGAAACAAAAAAAGTGCAACTCATGTTAACAGTGACACCCCTCATAGGAAGTGAGGTTGTCCTAATAATCTGCAATTACATAGTGACAAACTAAGAAACGTTTTCATTTGTGTACAAGCCGATTAATAGTTCTGTTTTCTAAACAAAATTTCACAATATGGAGACGTTTTAAATTGTTTACTTACGATCATTAGGGTGTAGACTGAAGGTAAATTAAAAACGTTGATGAGGTAAACGCTGACATCTGTGACACACGTTATGACTAATTTTTGTTGTGGAAAAGTAGGACTGTACTTATAACTGTATTATATATATCCTAAATTTTAGATTGCGTTGCAAAATTTAGTAGTTTGTGCATAGTTGATCGAGTGCCAGATAAATTCAAAGACTCATCAATCTCTATTCATCACTTTTGTGATGCCTCATTTCTGCTTCATTTTGACACATCGTTTTTGTAGGCTGTTATGGAGGGTTACGAAGTAACAACAATGGAAGATGGTGCGAAAAGAGCGAAGATATTTGTTACTGCCACTGGTTGTGTAGATATAATTTCTGGTGAGCATTTCTCAGAAATGATGGACGATGCGATTGTCTGTAATATTGGCCACTTTGATACTGAAGTCGATGTTAAGTGGCTCAATGAGAATTGTGTCAGTAAAGAATCAATCAAACCTCAAGTTGATCGTTACACATTAAAAAACGGAAGACATATTATTCTACTTGCAGAAGGTCGCCTAGTAAATCTAGGATGTGCTCATGGTCATCCTAGTTTCGTAATGTCAAACTCTTTTACAAATCAGGTACTAGCACAGATTGAGCTATGGACAAAACCAGATCAGTATCCAGTTGGCGTCCATTTTCTCCCTAAAAAGGTTAGTTCTCTTTTATTTTAGGGACAAAAGTGTTTGGACTGTTTACACAGTTCAGACATTGTAAATTACGTTTTAGTCGTAGGGCTTGCTTTATTTGACACGAATTAAATTGAAAGTTGGAGTTGCCTTATGTTGACTAAGGTCGAAGTTATGATTGCTCAAGTTCCACATCTTCGGGAAGATACGTTACTTATTTTAGGTTGAAAACATAGGTACATAAACATGTATCATTGAGGTAGTGGTTGGAAGCAGTCGACAGGAAACCCTGACGGGTTCGACCCCGTGCCACACAGCTCCACAGTCAAAGACGTTACCACTGAGCTACCTTGGCCATGACTGAGATGTATTTACAACTAATCGATCACTACCCAGTAATCAATCAATTATAAAGACATTTATCATTCCTTTGAATAATTTCTATGCGTGTGTTATAAGACAACGCATATTAGTTTGTGTTTATAGGGATGTAATAGGTAGTTATCCAGCCATCATCAGTGTACAGCCTGACATAGATGTGCGTTGGTCGAGGCTGCTTTAATACATTAGCACGTCGAGATGAAATTAACAAGATTTAGCGAAGGAGATCAGAATAATGTAGTAAGAATAGCAGTAAAAAGGAATAAGTATTGATAATATGGTTTGGGTTGCATCTACCTGCATAGCGTAGATCAATCTTCATTTGCCGCTCTTAGCTTCCTTCCAGTCTACTTTATCGACAATTATCGCCTGTCGAGGCACTCCCGAACTAGGCGTACTTAGAGCATGTCCTAACCACCTCAGTTGATGAAGACCCGAGGTCTCGTCAACTACCAAGTCATTGTCCTCTATGACCCTTCGCCTAACCGACAGTGTTCACCCAGTCGCTAAAAACAGTTTATACACAAGTTTTTGTTTCAAATGGTTTATGTAGGGTGCTGCAATTCTTGAACTATAAGTTTTTTGTAACTTGATTCTTATCTTTGGCATACTTTTCAGTGCTCATCATATTCTCTATTGATAATTGGATTGTTTTCCTTATAGTTGGATGAAGCTGTTGCTGCCGCTCACTTGGAACAGTTAGGTGTCAAACTAACAAAATTAACCAAAAAGCAAGCTGATTATCTGGGTGTGCCAGTTGACGGACCATTCAAGGCGGAACACTATAGATATTAAATTTAAGTTACTTGATTTGTAAAATATGTCAATTTATGTGTATCATAATCTAATGAACTGTTATTACTCTAAAATACAGATGCGTTGGAAAAAAGTATTACTTGCCTAAAATAGTAAGTCTCCTGAACACATTAAGAACTTTGTTAATTGTTTTATGTGCATGAAGGTTCACTTCGTATGTCAGTAATTTTAGTGTCTAACATGTATACATAGTAACTACTTTTAAGTTTCTTGCACCTATTTTGTTACAAACTACATAATGATACCCGCAGTTCCTATACACCTTTTCAATAAGTGTTTACCGACTATATTGTATTTACTTTAACTGTAGGATCAATTTTCTGTACTCATTGGTCATCTTTTAACAGGCATTTTAGCTTAAATTTATTTTTGGGAATCGAATACCTATCATTACTGAATATGGGACCCAACATATTCTATTGATTGGCTACAAACTGCAATGTTTTTATACAATAAATCTAACCATTAGTAATCAAGAACACATAACGGGTAGGTATTGCGATCGCACTTAAGTTTAAATGAACATGATGAATGTATTATCAGCTCGTCACGAGTCAGGACACTGGTTCAGTAATAAGACAAAGCTCATATTATGGCAACCGACACCGTTTTGATCTGCTTGAGCTCCATTACGTCAGTTTAAGTTACATGTAACCCATATAAGAGCTAAACAAATAATACGAATTTGACTTAAATGCTGATCATTTTCGTAACGTTTCAATGTTCTTGGGTCATTACAGTAAAGTCATAATTTACATAGGTTAGTGTGACTACAATATAAGTATTGACTGTGGTGTACTAGGACCTGATTTCTATGATGAACAAAGAAAAGAAGACCGTCTAACGCTCGAAAACGAATGATTATATCGATGAATGGTTGTGTAGATTACAACCAAATCTACCTTAAAGAGGAATAATATATATTTGTAAAATCTTAGTGAAAGAATTTGAAGTAATTCCGTTTCGCCTGGCAATCTGGTCAAGGCTTTTTCAAGGAAAATATAATCAAACAACAAAACTATCGAAAATTTCGATAGTTTTAGTGAGAGAGGATAGAGTTTTATTTGTAATATGGTAGTGTGGATTGTAAATATGATCAGACTGAATGGCTAGAATAGATGATCCAAGTAGGACGTGTGGTGAGGCCTTCATTTCTATTGAGAAAAGTAGGATTAAGCATTATATGGAAAGCTTCAGTTACCCTCCTTTCTTTGTAGTTGGGAAAGCCTTTTTGCAATATTTTGATGTTTTTAAAATCAATCTAGTGGTTGTTGAAAATGGCATGAACTGCTATTGCCGAGTTAATTTGAAGTTGATTCAATTCTACACGATTGTTAGGAAGTTTCTTTGTGTACATTATATCTTACAAATTAAACTCTATCCTTTCTCACCATGAAGGTCACACAATTTTTCATTCTTAAACAATGTACATATACACAAATTTACATATCACTTATGAATCACCTTAACAGAAATGACATGACATTAACTTGTTCAGACCTGTTTTTGATTGATCAAATATTATTCTTATTGTTCTGTTGTACTATTTAAATTTGGTTATTTATTCTCTGAAGAAGTGACTTACACTAAGTCAGGAAACGTCAGGAAATCTAATTTTCTACTCATTGGGATATTACAAATATATTATTTATTTATAACAATCTACCATATGCTCAATTTATTCGAAATTATCAAACCAAACCTTGGTAATGATACATACTACTTTGATTACTGCTATTACCACATTTAATACTGCCATTACCATTGTTACTGTAACTGTTGATACAATTTTTATTATCACTGCGGGAAAAGAACACATTTTCCATTATGAACAAAAAAGACGAATAAACTTTCACTTAGAAAAACCACATCATTGGGTGCAAAAATGTCACACAATGCCGGAAAGCTACGCAAATATGGGACATGTCTTCATTGAGCTTCCTCCTAAAACTCAGCATTTATATGCATACAGTTGGACGGTCAAGTTCTACATTCAGTCATCATTAGACTTACGAATACAAACAGTTCACTGGAATGTATATGCTTATCAATTGTGGGATGAATGTAATTTGCGGGGAATTTTCATAAATAAATCCCAGGAAGTCGACCATTTCAGGGTAGCGATTCTAAGAAATCTCGACTACTGAGCGTTCACGACACTAATCCCGGACAAACAGAAGCAACAATAGTAGTAACAGTAGTGTTTGAAATAGCAGAAGTAGTGGTAGTCTTATTATTATTACGAATATTGATGTTAGTCAGTGATTTTCCTCTATGAACGTTTCAGGACAGCTTTGTAAACACAATATACATCTGGTTGTGCTCAAACGATCAAGACTATTCACCTGTGAACTGTTACAAACAACTCGCTATCTTCATAGTGCTCCTACATATGGCAGTAAACATGGAGAATTAGATTATTTACATTCGACTCTCTTTTGTTCGGTTACATGTAACTGGACTGTCGTGCAGTGTGATCTATCTTTCAGATAGCAGTTCCGAACATCAAGTCCTCTATAAGTAAGCAAAGTGGTCATGATACTCGAAGTAATTAGTTCCATTCACGAATTTGAATGGTGTAATAAGAAGACGAAGATTACCAGAACTATGTGATATATTAGCGCAAAACATTTCAAACAATCTGGTCACATATATACTTGTTAAGAACATTTATATATAAAAATAAAATGTCAACTAGACTAGAAATGTGGAGTAAGCGGAGACAAAGATAAGAAATAGAATAATATGGAAAACAATTTGAAGCCTCATCACACTGGATAATAAGCTAATAATACCAGGATAGGTTTAAGATGAGGAAAAACCGTTTTTGAATACATTAAGGATCTTTGGACTTTCGTATGGCTAAGGCTTCAACAAACCTTAATATACGCTCTTTTACACCATTTTACAACACCACAAAAGCCATGTTAAGTTCAATCCTATGACCTGTTTCAACTACGTGTCTGGCGATAGAGGATGATGGATGTTTATCATTTACTCTTATTGGGTCTTTTGATTTTGTGTTTGCAACCACTTAGGTACATGTTCGGACATCCTAATTAACAAATCACAATTGTTTTCATGACTTTTAGGTTCTTGATGAAGCATGGACCTTGTTTTTTACTTAATAAAGACCTTTGCTACGTAATCCGTTATGTTAACAACTGATTTAAGCCTTCGCTTCAATTAAACGCTATTTGGATCACCTCTAAACGAAAAATAATGTAGACAAGTTTCTTTCTGCGAAGGTTAAAGTAGGCCTCAGTATACTGTGACCTTTCCATCTATTTATGAATCTTAAGGCATAGCCAGTCTCCGTTAATGTTTTGTTTAACAAACAAACGTCGTCATCAATAGCGTCGTTTTTGCAAACACGATTAATTCTATTAAACAGACCGCTCATCGACTATGGTATTGACCCGTCCATGTTGGATTCCTAAGGATGGATCGTTTGCTTGAATCATCTCGTCTACTTATTAGCATATCTAAGAAGAGAAGCCGACCATTCTTCTCCTCCTCTTCACATGAAAGGATGACGTGGTTTTGGAGGGTTAAGTCCACTCAAATAAACAATCCATATCGTCCTTTCTTTCACAGATAACTAAAATATCATCCATATATCTCTTACAAAGACACATGATTACGATTAGGTCTTCAGCTAGATTTGCAACATGTATCATGAACACATCTGCTGATAACGGACTAACCATAGGAACCAAATCAATCACGCCAAAGTATTCACCTTCAAATGTGAACTGGACTTTGTCAGTACATAGTAGTGCTAGATTTGTAAAGGAGCAGGTAATTTTTTTAAGGCTGTTCAAAGATATGCGGTCACAAAATATATCATTAGTCATTTCCAAAGGTACATTTGTGAACAGGTAAGTCACTTGATATTATTACCTAAATGATCGACCAATTCAAAAGAATCCTTACATAAATGTTTCGATAGGATTCAGTAATTTAGCTAGGTAATGTGGTGATCGACACAGTGATCAAATCAACGTAAACGAATGTTTGGTCTGTGAATTTTAGTTCATCCATGTAAATGAGGATACTCAGAACCAATAGGTTTAAGAAAATTTAATTCCGCCCTACCAATAATATTCATGTGCAGCAGTTTTACTAGATTTGAATTCATTCTTCCCTCTAGTTTGCTAATACCTCCAAATTCGATATCAGGCATAAATTTACTTTCATCACTGAAGAAGGACATCTTACTTTTATATTCAAATTTGTTTATGATAACCACGCCTTGATCTTTTATCAGACTTCAACACGATAATAACAGGGTTTGTTCGTGCTTCTTTTGGTGATTTAAAATGTTGAATAGTTAATATGCTTCTCTGCTTTGGTCCACCATTTAGATATTAGTGCGCTAAATCCACCAATTTAGCCTTGATTATATAAAGACGTACGGTTTAGCATACTCAGTTGAGAATTTCAAATTCGCCATTTATCTCCAATTCAGATATTTGTTATAGGGACAGGAAAACTAAAACCAAGAGAAAGTTCCTCCTTTCCATAGGCACACAATGCAATGGAAGATAAATTAGTGAAGTATTTGTGCTGTAATTAATTCTCACAGGGAATTAATCCTCATAACAAATAGAACAGTATTTTAGCTCTACACGCTACTTCATCAGTATCCGACGTTGGATGTCGATTAGTTAATTAAGGACAGGTGAAATCCTACATCCACATAAAAACCAACTCATGCATTCTGATAAACAAGCAAATTCGTATGTATCACGGATAAATATTCACCAAAGTTTAGTTACTTCAACTGGGATTCGACAAATATTCCACTTTTACTCACATTACCAACATGATTTTTTGTGGATTTGAAATAGTCTAACGAATTACCTACAATCTCAAATAGCCTACAACTTCAACAAGACCCAATCAATAAGTCAAATTCGAAGTAGTCACAATGAAACTACATTAGATCATGATAACAGATTAAAAGATAACACAAAATATTTAATTGTACAGTAGCTATTTTGTCCAATTACCACACCTGTCACAGACTGTTTACTTGTCCACGTGTCTTTAGTGTCTTCAGTAATAAGGATAGGAGGTCTGTCGACCTATATTAATCCTTGCAGTTTGTAATACTGTGGAGGTCCAATCTCGTTTTGAATATATTAACAGACGGTGCTGATATTACGTGTTCCGGTAGGGAATTCCAGTAATTCACTACTCGGTGCGAGAAACGGAACTCCAGACGTAAACGGTTTGACCTCGGTTTTTGAACTTTCTTCGAATGTCCTCTCAAATGATCGGTTCCAGTGTACTCTTGGTTCATTGCAATCGTCAGATCCTCCCACTTGTTCAACATTCAGATTCCCGCTTTTTCTCCTATATGAAATCAGCATTTATATATAGTCATCTTTATTGCGGGAAACAATGGAGTCCAAATTGTAACTACTTGTCCGAAGTTCACAATTATCTACACATTTAACACTAGTCAATAATCAGATCTAAAATTCGAATCACTTACTTCACTTATTAGAGCTGTCACAATGCATATCATCTTCAACAGGAAAGAGACAAAGTGATCAACCACATCGATAGCTCTGTATGACCAGTTCAGCCAGTATGAACGAGGGAAAACGGGAGAACATGTCTTGTAAGCGTACTAAAAAACTACTCATAATAAGTCAAGCACCATATACGTTACTACAGTAACTACGAAAAATTAGCAAAACGGATTCTTCAATTAGTGGTAGTCAAAGTAACAACCCTACGAAAACAACGGAAGAAACAGTAACTCAATACACGCGTACCTCTACAGATATGCATCAAAGTAACAAAAACAATCTGCAGTTGAACCAAAATTAGAAAACATATGCGTATATGAAGAAGTCTACCAGAAAAACTGAATCTTCGTTGGAAAGCATACATCCACC